AAGTAGTCCAAAACTCTGCCTTATCTGACAATCTCACAGATAATTCCTTTTCTTCCCAAAACTCCTTAGGAATAGATATCTCAAAACTTCTCTTAGCTGATTCTCGTAATCTTTTATTATCTTGCTCTCAAAAATATCCTTATAAGACAACATCAGATACCAAGAAGAAATGAACTCCATTTCCCTGGATCAGAGTAGTCTTTACAAAATTTCATTTGAACATCAATATGTTGGAGTAATGTAGTTATCAGAAGTAATAATTTGGGAAACTAATAAAACTTAAATAGAATATGTACAAATTAACATGAATAAAAAAACACAATATAGTCTGTATATCTTTATTACAATTATGTAAACATACTATAGGCAAAAAGCTAGTGAATCATCATTAAATAATTAGTATTTGAAAACTATAGGTTTTATATGTATCTTTTAAGAATAAAATTCAAATTCAAAAATTTCTCATAAAATTTTATATAGGTTTTATTTCATCTATGTTAAAACATGTATATATAGAAAAGTTGATGAGGATAAAAATTAATATATTTAGGACATTTGTTCCTGGATGTAAGATTATGAGTGATCTTTTATTTCTTTATACTTTTTAGTATTTTCCAAATGTCTACAGCTTGTCTGACTAATTTTATGATCATAACATAAATATAATTTCCATGTTTTTTCTTAGAGGCCTGAAGTTGAAATCATGAAGTTTTAAATTGAGTGGAATATATATGGCAAACAAACATAGAGAATTGTACATTGATACATCATGGGACCCCAGGAAATATTATCTGAATATAAATGAAGTAACTGCTTTAATATATTCATGAAATTGTTACTAGTTCACCAAATGGACATAGAGTGAGGGTGTGAGTGGGCACTGACACATGTCACTCAATTAAACTTTAAGACTGTGTTTACAACGAAGTTATGCCATTATTAATTTTCACTTTTTTCTGGACCTCAGATTCCTTTATTCTCTTTATCTTAATGTACTCTTAAAGCACAAAGGCAGTGAAGGGTAGATGAATTGTCCCTGTTACATGTGGGCAAGGCACATAATGAGGTACATGGAAAGGAAACCTCTTCCAGATGACAGCACAAATGCTTCATTGAGAAGCTAGCTTTAGATTTCTAAACCCCAAGATAGTGGTCTCCCTTCTAGATAGCTCAGTGCATCACAGAATTCTTCCAGGGACAAGAACCCTTGAGAAGAAAGTTGAGTGCCCTTCTAATTGCCAAGTCTTCTCTAGACGAGATGGCCTTTGGGAGAACCAACAACTGACTAATATGTTTTTATAATTTCCTGAAGATCTATGACAAAGGTTGGATTTCATGATAAAAATCAGACAAAACCCCCAGACTTGACTCATTCATCTTCATTATTTCACTCATTACCTCAGTTTCCTGCAAATCTTGAAGTAATTAGAATCTATTTTTTAAAAAGTTCTCTTTTAACAGTTTTCATCTGCCTCCTTTTGTCCCACACCACAAAGAAACAAACATACAAACAAAACAACTTGGTCTCATGTCAAAATTGATGTCTTTAATGTCCTGTGTTAATGGCAGACTCAAGCACAGAATCAGTGTCTTTTTCTGTCCTAGTCCAAAGAGCAATAGTGTGCCTATTACCACTGAAATCCTCTCATACCCATATTTTGGGAAAAATGAGAAATGGAGAAAAGCGTTGATCTAGCAGGATGACCCTGATCTTCCATAAAAGAATAATTGCATCCTGGCTCAAACTGCAATTGACAGACAGGGACTCCAGCAGACAAACTTCTTCTAGGCAGAGAAAACTTTGTGACTTGTTTAAATTCCACATACTCAAACATTTTGAAATACAAACTTTTACTGTAATTCTGCTTTTCCCCATTCTTAACAGCAAGCAGAGATTTCTTTTTCTACTATGTAGTTCCTATAATAATAATTTTTGTTGAGCGTTTACCATGTACTAGGGACGATACTAAATACATTACATACGTTATTTCATTTAATCTTCACAAAAATTGATGAAGTTGGTACACTACTAACCGTATTTTAAAGAAAAGGAAACTGTGGTTAGGAGAAAGCAAATGACTTGCTCAAAGTAATGATGACAAGAAAATAGAGGAGCCTGTATTTAAATCTAGGATGTTTGGCTCTAGCTCTTTAGCACTTAGTGCCTCTCCAGTGTAGATCCCGTTTACTTCTGGGAATCAGCAATGCCAGAGTTTGGATAAGTGGGTTGGCATCTAGAGCCACTACCTGTGACCATTTGAAATCCATGGCAATTCTTTTGCTAAGCTATGAAATGTAGAGTTAGATGTTGAGTTCAAGGGTCCATTGGACAAATTGTTTGTTGTAGAATTGTTGTACACAAAAAATCACCCAGTACCTTGCATTTTATCAACATATATGCTCTTTAAGGATGAAGACACTGAGGCCCAGACAGGTAAAGTCCAAGGAAACACAGCTAATTGATTAGTAGTAGACCACAACAAGAATCATGGTCTTCTAATGCCCAACCCAGTGATTATTTTTCAGCATCACGTCTAGCAAGATGAGTGTATACAAGGAAAAATCACCCTACAGTGACAAAGAGAGGTGACTTTCATCTCTCATCTTTAGCAATACCTGTCTTGACTCTCTAAAAAAATAGGGTTAAGTCTGAGTTCAGGGATGCAGAGATTCAATCATATTGCTGCGACAACATTCATTGTAGCAGAAATGAGATCTTGCCTGGTGAGAACAAGATACAAGAAAATCTGAATAGTCAGAATAAAAAGTGCCGCTGATCCTGGAGTTTAATCTAGCACAGCAAAGAGTACATTCTTTCTTTGCAGATTCTATATTTTAATGCATTCTCCACTGAGATGTGAGTTTTAGAGCTGGAGATTTCTATCAAAAAACAGATTCCAAATGCTGTCCTTCTCTCTCCCATGCTGACATGCCTTACCACCATGGATGTCGCACACCCTGTCTCAGCTTCACCTCAAATTTGCCTTCTTCATTCTCATTGGTCTCTCATATCTCCTCCTATCAGTACAAGGTTAAGATTTTTACCCCTTATTTCATCCCTGGAAATTATCAAAGTCAGAGCATTGTTTCAAGGAAATGAGTGACTATACAGAAGCCGATCTCTAACTATCCAAACTATCACACCATATGCCCTATCTCTGGAGGAAACCCTCAGTGACCCATGCAACCACAATCTGCTGCACTACTGCACTGTCTCCACACTCAGAAGCCTAGAAATTGACTCCGAAATCCATAAAATGTAAACCTATCTCTGAAAAATTATAGATCTATCCATATACAGGGAGGAGAATAAACATTTCTGTGAAACATCTAAAAAGTGTTTCCCCCATCAAATATCAGAAAGTTATGCTTCAATGATTTTAATTATAAACCTCTCAGGAGAAGATGGAAATGTGGGAAACTGGATTAAAAATAAACAATTCTAGTTAACTTAGCATGGTTGCCTCTGTAGTTAAGCAGGATGTCCAGTGTATTCAGCAATAAGAAATAATAATTATATGTAGTTGTTCAAACATCATATCATAGTAATGTTACAGGAAGCAGAGAATGTCAAGATGGCACAAATTTATTCCAATGGATTTAGCAAGCGTTTAAAGCTCCAATGCTTTGGACATTTAAGTCAAAGGAAAAGAAAATGCTATGATGAATTTGAAACCCAAAGTTCTTAGGTACTAAGGCAAATCTTCTGATCTTCAGCACCTAGCTCTCTGGTTATAGGGTAAGAAACACAAATATTTCTATCACTTAATAACCCCCTCTCATTCTGCTCTTAAAATAAGAAAACAGCTTCTTCTTGAATCATAGTGTTTAGAACAGATGCTGAGAACATTAAAGGACTTGTCTTTCTATCTGAGGTTTTGCCCCCTCAGGAATTAATTATCTCTATTTTTTAAAGATTTGACCTTAGAAACAGATATTTGGGAGAATTCGTCTATGGACAACAAACATATCTTCACCTGAATGGTTCTTTTCCCTGCACTTTAAACTTACATATTAACAGCCTACATTCCTAGTCTGGAAAATTATGTGATGATGCACTCCTCTTATAAGGAGTACCCTTGGGTACTGTGAACTGGGACATGAAGGACTCTGCGTGCTCTGTAAATAATAACATAGGGTTTCATTCAGGTTGCATGTCCCTGAGGAAATTTCCTCCCTGGCAGAGGTCACCAGAGGAGGTTGAGATACTGAGTTAAATCTCTCGAATGTACTACAAACACATCAGGACATACTCTGTTTATAGGAATATTGGGAGCTGATATATTTTCAGGCAGAGTGATATCTACAATTGGAGGGAAAATGGAGGTTCAAATCCTGGTGCCAACTAGCTCAGGATCAAAATCTAAAAAGGTAGATTTTTATGCCTTCCCATTGACATTTTTTGGAAGTCTTAGAATTCCACTAGCCATTCAATGAAAGAAAACAGACAGATTTCTTCAGACATAATATTCTCAGGACAGTGGAGAATAGAAGAGACAAATATATTCTGCTATCTTCAAACACATAGTGTAGAGGTGCACTCTGCAGTCTAGGGGAAAGGGCACTGTGTAACCTACTTATGATAAGAGTTAACAGCTGCTATATTTAAATATATGGCGAGGCAGTGGATGAAGAATTGGGAAAAATAGTAATAATAGCAGTTATCATTACTGAGTACAATGTCCTTTATTCTATTAATATTGTGTGCTATATTGATTGATTTTCATATGTTGAACCAACCTTTCATTCTTGGGATAAATCTCATTTGCTTTTGGTGTATAACCCTTTCTATAGGCTACTGGATTCAGTTTGGTAGTATTTTGTTGAGGATTTTTGTGTCTGTATTCATAAGAGATATTGGTTATAGCTTT